CTTTAAAAAATAGAAAGTGGAACAACTAAATGAAAGTAAAGAGAGCATTACTTTTGTCATGATTATATTCAATTGATGGTGATGCATTTGTATGGTTAAAACCAACATTTAGTCCCTCACCTTATAAAATTGGTAAGTTTTAGCTCCTAATATTATAATATGACACTTTTAACTTTTTTACTTTATAAAATTGGTAAATTTTAGCCCTTCACTTTATATTATGACACTTTTAACCTATTATCTGTACGAATTAAAGAAAATAACCTTATTTAACATCAGGTTATAATGTTCTATTAGTTTTGTTAACTGACTGTTAGTTCTGTTAGTTGACTGTCAGTTCTGTTAGCTAACTGTCAATTCTATTAGCTGACTATTAGTATTCATTAACATTCCATTAATGAAACTAGCAAATAAAATTGAATTTAAATTTCATATTTTTTATAATGAAATGCTAACGGATGTTAACAATCAACTAACAGAACTAAAGAACGTTATAACATGATGCTAGGTAAGGGTTATTTTCTTTATTTCGTATCGGTTAGGGGCTAAAAATATCATAATATAAGGTAAGGGATTAAAACATACCAACTTTATAAAGTGAGAGGTTAAAATTTACGAACTTTGTAAGATAAAGGGCTAAAATTATCATGTTATGGGCTAAAACCTACCAATTTTGTAAGGTTATGAGCTAAAACCTATCAATTTTATAAGGTGAGGGGCTAAATGTTGGTTTTTACCCATTTGTATATGGACAATGGTATAGTTACAAATGTTGCATAAAATTTTAAATTTATGTTCATAACATGCCATGAATGAAGTCAATGACCCCTCTTAATAAAAAGAACTAATCATATAAAAATATATTATTATTGTAAATTTACCATATTATATAACATTATAAATATATCATTTATATTTGTTTATTGTACTAAGTTGATATGATCAAGTGTGTACAATGCATCACATAAAAAATTTTTTTTAAAAAAATTAATAGAATGCCCTGAATTCTAATAGTTGGTAAAATGGTTTGGCCCAAAGATATAAATTTTGCTGTTTTTTTAATTAAGGATATCAATTTTTTATTTACTAAATAAAGCCATGAATTTTTGAAAATTTTGAATCAAGGGTTTGAATTTTTAAAAGTTTCCAATTAAATATATGAACTTTGTTAAATTTCTAAATATTAGTTCCTGTACCATATCACCATACACATCCAATAAATCCTTATTTACAAATTTCATAAAATTTTTATTCTTAATTAGAAATTTTTGAATTTAATTAGAAAATTTTGAAAGTTCACAACCTTAATTAATAAATAAAAAGATAGTATCTTATTTTAAAAAAAAAATTAAAGCAAATTTCATATCCTTATGTACACTATTTCTCTAGGAAAATAAAAAAATGTTCACTTCTCCTTGTATAACATAAGATCTAAACTGCCCTTC